TTGAACATGTTATGAGGCTTCATAATGGAAAATTCAATGAAATAGCTCAAGCTACTTCTGGACTCAGGATCCTAGAAGGAATGAATGAGAGGATCATTAAAATACAAAAAAGACATTTGCCAACAATGGTGGCATGCCCAGTTGAGATCCTGGTTATTGAAATGGAGGAGTCATATTGGAGATTCCCCATCATTAAATATCTATAGGACCCATATCTGAAAATAGAAAGGCTTGTTATAAATCGAGTAGTAAATTATGTCCTTCTGGAAGAACAATTGTTCAAGAGAACTCCATAGGGTTTGATTTTGATGTGTATCAACAAGTTAGATGTCCTGAAAGTTATGGCAAAAATCCATGAGTGGATTTGCAGATCTCACCAATCAGGTGAAAATATGAGATGGTTAATTCATAGATATGGGAAATATTGGTCAACAATGAGAAAAGATTGTATTACTTATGCAAAGGGATGTCAAGCCTGCCAGAAGCATGGACCAATCCAAAGGGTCCCTACCTCCAGTTGCATTCAATTATAAAGTCATAACCATTTAGGGTTGGGCAATGGACTTGATTAGCCAGATTCACCCGTCATCATCAAAATAGCATTCTTACATTATAGTGGTCACTGATTATTTCACAAAATGGGTAGAAGTAGTGCCTATGAAGGTTGTAGATAAGCAATAAGTAATTGGCTTTATCAAGGAGCACATTATTTATAGGTTTGGTTTGCCTCAGAAATTAATATTGATTAAGGCACTATGTTCATAGGGACAAAAATAACAGAGTTTGCATATGAGCATGGAATACAGATGTTAAATTCATCACCCAGTTATGCTTAAGTCAATGGATAAGCAGAGTCAACTAACAAAACATTGAAACTGATTCTAGAAAAGACCACAGAAGATAACCCAAGATAGTGGCATGAGTTATTGCCATGAGTCATATGGGCACATAGAACTTCCAAGAAGACCAGCATAGGAACAAAACTATTTAAGTTGGTGTATGGGCATGATGTTGTGATACCTATGGAAATAAATATAAGATCAAGATGGGTGGCAAAACACCAGGATATGTCGATGGATACCTACACCCAAGCAATATTCCTTGAGTTGGAAGATTTGGAGGAGAGTCAATTAGAAACATTAAATCATATCCAAGTTCAGAAGAACAAAATAGAAAGGACTTATAATAGAAATTTCAAGTCCAAGAGCTTCTCTAAAAAGGATTTGGTTTGGAAAACTATCTTACCCTTAGGGAGTAAAGATAAAGAATATGTCAAGTGGTTCCCTACTTAAGAGGGCCCTATTAAAATAGGGAAAGTATTATAAGGTGGAACTTTCCATTTGCGGTCCCTATAGGGAGAATGGCATAGAAAACCCATTAATGGTAGGTATTTAAAGAAGTATTATCCAACCATGTGGGAATCTTACAACATTAACTAAAGTAAGTTCATAAGAGGACCATGAGGTATGACTGCAGGAGTTTTAAGATGTACAAATAGAAAACAAACAACAAAAGTCAGAAGTAAATGTTAAGGAAAAGGAATGATTTACATTCCTGAAGTCATTTACAAAGTGAAAAGGCCACACCAAATTTGGCCGTTACATGAGATAAAATAGAAAATTACTGCAAAATAAAAAGACCATATCTTGAAATCCATTTGTTGGCTATAAGTCCTCTTTGGGTCTTGTTTCAATCTAGGAGGAATAAGAAGAAATCTTTATTTTAGAAGAGGCTACAGTACAAACAGGCACTCTGTTGGCAATAGTCCCTTATTGAGTTAGAGATGAAGTTGAGTCAGCTTCATTTGTTGTTGTTCTATCTACCATTTGTATAGCTTGCCCAAAGGAAGAGATATATTGTTCTTCAGTCCCTGCTTGTTATTTGGAATTTTTATTTTGGGGCAAATCATCCCCAATAGCAGGATCGTTGCAAGGCTCCGACACAAGCTGGCCTTTTTCAGTAAAAGAAAATTCAAAAGGAAAAATTGTAGATGATTCTGCTTGGAGTTCTCTGCGTAAGTCTGATGGTAGAAAGGATAGGTCATTGGGTTTTCGATTGACAAAGCATAGCCTGGATATATATCCATTCGAATGGTCATTAAAGATCAAGGATGAAGCACCTTGCCACCAGTTTACAAAGAAAGAAAAGGCAGATGGTTCCCCATGAACGTCTTAAAAGATTTGTTATAAGTTGAGGAAATAAGGTGAACAGGATAGGGGTCTCTAAGCTTGACCTTTCAATTTGCATGCTCATCAACAAGGGGATGCATGAAGGGCATTTATCTGACTAAGAGAGTAAGTTTTGAAACTACACCAAGTGTATTTGTAATCATAGATTGCAACACTCGTATGAAGGTAGTGAGGAAGAAGGATATTGTCCCAAAAAGTGTGGAGATAATTGGCTTGCTCATCAGTAAGATCGATGGAGGCATCAAAGAATACTTTAAGATGCAACGAGGAGTAATGGCATTCAGAAAAAAAAAAAAAAAAAAAAGGTAAGAAGAGAGAAGGACATCTATCGAACTCTAAGTCATGAAATGCCTTGAAGTAGAAATCGAAATCCTTATACAAAGATGAAAACACTGACATGAGGAATTAGTAAGAATAGTTGACATGACGAAATTTTGGCAAAGGAAGATACTCAACGGCCCAAATTTTAGGAAAATAAGCATATAGTCATGCCTGAAATAACCGAAAGGGTCCTCCATAGTGACTGTCAATTCTCCTTTCGGCCATACTGAATAGGCTTCTATAAAGAGCTCCCAAAACAAAAGGGCTAATGCCAATATCTTTTGATCTGCCAAAGGGATGGTGATGTTATAATACTCAGCGGTGACTTTGAGATTGGGTACGCAAAGGAACAAAGCGGCAAAGCCAGTGAAGAAAAAAAGCTACATGTTGTTTATAGGAAAAAGGGTCAGATTCTGGTCTGCAAAAGAAGGTGACATGATCGGAGTAGTCGAAATTGGTTGGAATATCTATCAAAATGTAGTTAGGCTTTAGATTTGTTGTCACCTCAATCCCAAACGATTTTAGCCCGGTTAAATGCATCATATCAACAATTAATGGAGACATCATGCCAAGGGGAAAGAACGTGGCATTACAAGATTTTGACCAAAAACGACTAGCTACACCTATGAGCCAGCGGTTCATGAACAATGGGCTTGTTGAGAGCTTGATTTGTGTAAAATTTTTGCTTTTTCCATTGGTCAGAGAAGTATGTCTCCATTCATTCCACCCTGTCAAACAATTGTTGGTTTGGGTCAACCCAAGTCTTCATAGGAGTGATTCCTTGGTCCAAAAACTTCCATCGAAAATGGGGGCAACAAAGCATTAAGACTTCTTCATTTGAAATGGGATAGTGCTTAGATAGTGCTGGAAAATTGCCTAATTTAAAGGCAGGACCTAATGCAAAGTTTGAGTCAGAACTCTATCATGAACCCACTCTCGAATGGCATATCTGAGACTAGTAGAAAAATGAAGAATATGAGAGGTATCTAGAGAAAGATCTACAGACGTGGAGTGATCTAGCTTTCGTTTAGATGCCATTAAGGAAAGTCAAGGGTTTGAAGACCAAGCAAGGAGGAACTATCAAGGGTAAAAGTAAAATGAGGAATATGAACGAAGGTTTGGGTGAACAGTACAGTGGCTAAAGTCTTTAAATAGGTGTTCAAAAGTAGAGCAATTACAGACCGTTGGATTGCCTGAGTTGTCACTTGGTGGAATGGTTCAACCATTTAAAGGCACTTTAAGTAGATGATTCGAAAGGAACAACAATCATGACTATTCATTTGTCTAGGTAATTAAAGATTAAACCTAATTAAATGAGAGGGTATTGTTTGGACCTAAAATATAAAATTCTAAGAATGCTCGATAAATTGGCATCTAGCAAATCTGAAGGTGTTAAGAGGAGGCTACGTGGCAAAATTTGAAAAAAAAAGTGGGAAATGATCAGTCATTGCCTAATTTTAAAAGGAGAAATAATTGTCTGAGAGTTACCAGTCAAATAACTGTCGATAGAGATAAAACTGTCGAAGATAGTGGCTATAAAAAGCAAATAATAGAGAAGTCATATTACACATTTAAACCTCCACAAGACCCACGATCTTGGCATTTTTCAGAGTAATTTTAGGTTAGTTTTAGAAAATAAATACTGTTGTAATTAAAGCTATTAATTCAGTCTTTTTTGCAATTGAAATCTCTTCGACTGGATTAACAAAAGAAATTTATTTTATTAGTTCATTGTACTATGCGATTATCTCCTTAAAATTCATCAAAGAACGTCTTGAAATAAGATAGTTGAACTCATCACAAACAATCGCCTTAAAACTATTTGTCGATTGAGTTTACTTCAGCAATAACAATATATTTTTGTACAACAAATGGAAAACTTTCAAAAGTAGGCCAAGAAAACTTTTTGTACGAGTTTAACAAACAATTTGATCGTGTCAAGTGATGCACATAATCAATCAAAAATTATACATTTTTAAAAATCGTTGCCACTCATCACTTTCTCTGATTTTTTTAATCAAAAATCGTTGCCTGCAAAAACAATATGGTGTAAAACTCGGTATAAAATTTTCTGTGTAAATTGTTGCCCAAAAACGGTGACATCTCTTGTCACCAGTATTTTTATTTCTACGTAGGTTGGAAGGTTGAACTAGAGCCACTAAGGCTCCCTATCTAACATTGTCATTTGTACCAATTAAATCTGGCTGTCACCGTTATGGAGCTAAGGCCAAATTTCTGCCGTACATCTTTGAAAACCCGTAACCGACAAGTTCACCGACTACTCCCCAGCAAACTGCATTTAATTAACAGTAGTGCGTCACCACCGCCAATGTGGTCCCAGCCGGCTGTGATCCTAGCATGGCCCAAATTCACACGAGCCATCGTGGAAACACGTTTTGTGTCTATCTATAAATCCATCTGCATATACTCCATGCAAAACCAGTATGAGAAACAGAGAGAGAGGACTGTGTCTGGATGTGAGAGGGAGAAGTGTGTGTGTGTGTGTGTGTGACAAAGAGAGAGAGAGAGAGGGATAGAGATCAAAAAAACTCAAAGACTTCTCCAATCCAATGGCTCTGTTTGAATCAGAAATTGGATGCAAGAAGCACTTAACCCACCAGCAACAACCGGGTGTTTGTTCTTCGTGTCTCAGAGAAAAACTCTTAAGGCTCTATGGTGGCTCCTCCTCTTCTTCTTCTTCTTCTTTTTCTTCCTCTTCAAGAACCAAAAGGAACAGGGCTTCTACTTCTTCATGTTCTTCTTCTCTCTCTTCATCACCAGCTGCTAATTACTACTCTTCTGCTTCTTCTTCCACAAACATGTCTCCTCTTCATCGTGGTCATCATCGCATACCTTCGGCTCTTGTGGGTTCGATCTCTTTTGAAGTAACTGAAAACGGTGTGCTGAGAAAGAGCAGGTCGATGGCGGTGGTGGCGAGAGGCGGAACTGGGGAAGTTTCGGGTGGCAAGAAGAGAGGAGGATTCTGGTCAAAGCTGCTTCGGTCGACTGGGAAGAGCACTAAGAAGGTTTTTATGCATTCAAGGACTGTAAAATTAGAAAGCTTTGAGTAATAGCTGACGAATCAGAGAAAAACAAGAACAAGCTGTTTTGTTGTATATTGCTTTTTTGATCTCTGTGCTAAGGATGATGAATGTGGAAACTGGAATTTTCCTCTTTTTTTTTCCCTCAGCAGTCAGCAGATAATGGTTATACACTAAGAGTAGCAATAACTAGCTGATTTTATAATAATATTTGTCGAAAACAAACAAGTTAGTTTGTGCCTGTGAAATTACCATGAAATCATAAAAATTGTGGTAACAAAGACGAGAGTGCAAAATTCGTCGCAAAATTCGTCGCTAGGGATTCAAAATTATCAAGGTTACATTTAAGACTTTCCTTCCGACTCATTCGATTATGTTTCATTTTTCTCTGTTAGAAAATGATTTTCAAATCCATGCTCCAAATCTGAGCATTTGCTCATGATATTACTAAATCTTGAAAACCGTTGTTGTGTCACAAATGTAATTCGCTTTTAAATGATAGAATCTTATCACTTGATAATTGATAAAAGATCCGTGGAAGTGAGGCAAAGAAACTTGCAATTTTAGAAACTAAAACAATACTCAGCTCGGTCAATTGATTTTCAAGTTTGAGGACAATCAATTTTGAGTGGAACCAAGTCTTATTTAGATGGTTAGAAATAAATGAGAGTTAAATATATATATATATATATATAGTAGTTCAATGGTTGAGTTTGATTTTTGATAACTTAAAAATATCATATTCAATTATTTTTCACATCCCCTAAGAACTAGTCATTATTGTCCTTTTAGTAATATATTTTAATCCAACTCAAATTACGATAAACAATTGTTAAGTTCGAAAACAATCGATGAGTTCGAAAGAGTAATTGTTTGTCCACGTTTGACAATAATGTGCTTTTGTAAATTCGTAGCAATTATTTATAGTTCTAATTAGGGAAAAGAAATGAGGATTTTATTTTGAGGGAGTCAAACGACCCATGTTATAATCAAAGTCATTCCTTATGTTATAATCAAATTTTTAGTTGTAAAAAACTTATCAAAATAAAAATTAGTTTGGATCATAATATCTAAAAAATATATATATACTTACAACTGTAAAAATTAATATGCGACAATATCACGTTCCACGCATTCTCTTATTTGTGATATAAAGTGATTATAAACAAATGGCCATCTTAAATATGAGTTTCACACGATACCATCTTAAATGAGTGGATTTGGTGTGATATTATGATTTTTTTCTTAGTCATGGGTTTTTTTTTCACTAAAATTTGTTTGTTTTTATGTGTGATTCTTTTGCCTTCATTTGTTATAGAAACTCTCATATTACCGCTAAATCTTTTTATTTCGTATGCACACACACAAGAAAATACACGTAAATTTTGAACATATTTTATTCAGTATCATATTACATTATAAGAATACAAGAAAATCAATAAGGTCTAAGTTCAAGTCCAAGTCTAATCACCACCTCAAAAAGACTTCACTTTTGGATGGGTGGATGAAAGCCTAAAAATCTTGCCGATGTAGAATTTCAATTCCTCTTTAGCTAATATCATATTACAGTCGTAAGAGTCCAAGAACGCCAATTTAAGTCTAATATTCTTCTGTTTCAAAGTTAGTGTTTGAATCGAAATCTGGCCATCGACTATGTCATTTTCATGCATCACGTGTGTTGAACAACAACCGTAAGAAAATTGTCACTTTGACCATAGCCATGGCCAGTGGCCACCCAACAAGACAAGACTTAAAATTTTCTACACCGTGTGTCAGTTTACAGGAATTTATACGACACCACTAATTAATTTGAATAATAAATGAGTCTGGTTAATATTACGTTAATATAATCTAATTTGGATATAACAATCTCGTTTGTAAATAGAAATGCTTGATTTTTTATTTTTTTTTCTTCCATTTCTTAGTTTAGTGATTACACGAATCGTTGTAGAATCAAACGATTTTTCTTTTGATCAGGTTATAATGTGAATCAAGTAGAATATTTATCAATCTACAACAGATTTTGAAACAAAATCACTAACCTAGGGCACTATAAACTTATTTATCAAACTATGGTAATTTTTATGAAATGGTGTTATTGAAAAGTAGAGTCAACAATCCCGTTTTTAAAAAGTACCATAGTTTGGTAAATAAGTTCAAAAGTATCGTAGTGAAACAAAATCACCACAAACTAGTAAATAATTCGGACCTATGTGTAGTAAATTTGGTTGCAGGAAAGGGCGGTCCTACCCTTGCGGTTTCTAGTTTAAAGACACAAACATAAGATGAACATGATACGAATACGAAACGACTTGTATTTAAGATAATACGATCCAAAACTAATGTGAAACGACTCAATTGACACCTCTACAGCAACAATGGACAGCATGTCAATCTAGAAATAAGATGTGCCATTTAGAAAAGAAAAAATTTACAGTCCAAGGACTTCAAAATTTTGGCGTCCAAGTATGGTATCTATATTAATAAAACAGAGCCTCCTGCTTGAGCTCCTCAGTTAGAAAAGCATAACAACGACCTAGATCGTTTCGATCCAACGATTTATATCTTTTAGCCTTTTAACTACGATAGTTCATTTAAATTTTAAATTTTAATCTGAATTCAATAAACTTGGAAGAAGTTGGTCCAGTTTTGGATTTTTTGACATTGAGATTGACAGCAACAAGATAGCCAACAAGATGTTGCAAAATACACTCATAAATTATTTGACGGGTGTTTTAAACAAACCTAAGTGCTTATGCCAAATAGCATACACCACTACAAAGGACAATGCATTAGGTATTTGTTGGCTGTTGGTGTAATCCAGTGGCCATGTATGTCCAAAGGGCCCTGTGGACTTGTACATTTCTGCTTCATGAAACTTGTCCACTTCAGGTAGGAATATGTCTTCTTTTTTTATGGGAAGAGGAAAAGGAGATTGGCATTTGAAACAATTTCTCTCTCCACTCTTTCATTTAATCATGTAGAGCATAATTCCACAGGCTTGGGAATCAGTTTCCACAAATGTGTACAAACCATCTCAATCAGGAGTTGATAGAAATGAAAGGAAAAAAAAAATAAAGAGTTTGCCAGTTTCCCAGAGAGAAAAGACTAAGAAATGGAAGCAATTGATCCCACAAGCTATAAGACAAGGAGAGAAGAGAATGAGTCAGTGATTAGGGCTTCCATTATTAAGTTTTTCTAGCAAAAACAATGGTATTGAAAAAAAATTGGTACCGTATCAAAGTGACTACAAAATAAGTGAGATTACAACTCACTAATGAATTTTATAACAAAATGAGATTGTTGACTGATCTTCACCCTGAGTAACAAGTACATTCCATTTACTATAAAGTTCAGAGAGTGGGTAAGAAATTCGTATAATCCCTTCTCTGGGATCTGTACATCTTGTGACAATCAGTGACAACTACATTCCATTTACTTGAAAGTCGAATAAACCGTATACATTATCTGGTGGGCCTTGAAACTCCCATGTCAATCTCATCGCCGTCCTCATCCCTACGACTAGAATGTTCTAAAGCAGGTCGTTTCAATCTTTGAAATATCTCATCAAGGGACTCAGACGAGGACACACGAGTGAGATGATTGGCGTCCTGAAGTTGGCGAGAAGGAATTAATTTTTTGGCAGCTACGTTCGCCTTGAAACTTTGAAAACCAGATTTCATTGATGCCCATTTTGAGGCTAAACCAGCTGGAACTCCTGGACTTTCGCTAGACGGAGATCTCCCTGCATCAAGCAAAGACACTTTAGCAGAGGCTATATTCTCCACTGGCATCATGTTGGATGCTTGTATGGTCTGTTCTCTCATGGCAGCATATTTGCTGCTGATGACTTCTTTGCTCCCTCCATATCTACGGACCTCATCTTTCAGAGGTTTTGATGAACTTCCCTTCAAATTGTCCTTGGTTAAATTGGTGGTTGCCTTCATTTCGACACCATTCCTATCCTGGATATTAATACTTTCTAGTTAGATGTAAACTATCACCCAACCAATGAGGTTCAGAAAGGAAAGGAAATTACATAGAGAAAAACATGGTAGAGAAATTCCAGTCAAGCCACTGATGAATGGAAGAATTTCTTAGTCCACAATCATCAATAAATTCTGAAATGTATAACAAACTGGGTATTTCAACTTGTTTTAATGATGACACCAAAAGAGGGGAGGGGGAATGTATTGTGAGTCGTCCTCAAGGTATGTAGACATACCGTGCTTTTGATACCAGATTCCACATCTATGGCCACATCGTTGAAATTTCTAGCCAGTGGAACAACATGTTCACCAACTATGCACCCTTCTTCAAGCCAAGTTCTTTCTGGAAAAAAGGGATGGTGAATATTCTAGCATATAATTAAAAAAGGGGGTTGCTCGACAGCATGGAGAACAAACTAATACAACCTTGTTAAGTACTTCGAGCAACAAAAAGATGAACACCTCAAATGTTAATATTCCAAAGTCTAGACCACATAAAATATTGCAGCAACAAAGTCTATATAGGCTTACCTTTTTGCAATATAATTAATCCTGATGGATCAAAACCATCCATATCATCTGCCTCAGTTTGAAATCTAAATATCTTCCAGTTTCCAAAGAAATTAATAACCCGGTCAAAGAAGTTGCTCACAACCAACAGTGTATATATAACCATCATAAGTGGATAGATTCTGTTGAATCCACTCCCAAAAAAAGGGACAGCTTGATCAATGTTTCCCATACGCTGCAATCATAAATACATCAAACATTGATGAAATATTATTAAACATAGGGCACCAAGTATGGGTGTAGGTAACACAAAACACCAATTCAAGAACTAATTTCCCATTTGAAAACCATTCATAATCCAAAGTTCTAGCTCACAATTCTAGAGTATTATTCATAAGAGCAAGCTGGGGAAACAAAGACAGTGAATTTATACAACATATATTAAACCAGAAATTGTGCTAACATTATTTTGAAATTACCACTTTCTTTTGCTCTTTATCTCATGTCTGCACAAGAAACCAGTATGTCATT